TGAAGTTAAATAAATAAACAATCTTTCTTAACCAAGGAATTCACAGCCAATGGGCTTATGGTGAACCTTTTTTCCTTTAACTTACAGATATTAATGAGTGTAACGAGGATCCCAACATCTGCCTCTTTGGCTCTTGTACTAACACTCCAGGAGGTTTCCAGTGCATCTGTCCTACAGGTTTTGTGCTGTCTGATAATGGACGGAGATGTTTTGGTAAGTTAATGATTTGGGAATGTAATAACTTATTCTAACAGATAACAGATACTCTGTAGAATGAGTAAAAAAGGACCACTGCAGGTCCCTTCCAAACTAAGCCCTTAGAAAGTGCTTTCAAAATAGTATGAAAAATACAGGCCTAACACTATTCCTTTCAGGGCTAGACAGTCATCATCTAACCAGGTAGGAGGTGCTAGCTCCACATAACTGTATTTTTTTTTTTTTAGATACTCGCCAGAGCTTCTGTTTCACTAACTTTGAGAATGGGAAATGCTCAGTGCCAAAGGCTTTCAACACCACAAAGGCAAAGTGTTGCTGCAGTAAAATGCCAGGAGAAGGATGGGGTGATCCTTGTGAGCTCTGTCCAAAGGAAGAAGAAGGTACACATCAAGATTTAAAATAAAGCCTTTTTAGGTGGGAGAAAAGGAAGAGCACATTTGTGTTGTACATTTTTGATCATTAGGAGAAAAGATCTTTGAGAAGAGATCTTTTTGCCATTATCTATTAGTGACCTTTTCTAGAACCATTTTCAGGTCAACAGAAGGAACAAAATTAAATAGAAGAAACCACAGAAAAAGAGAAATACTGAGTTGTTTGTTTTGCTCTGTAGAGAAATGAACTAGTAGCCTCTATCTGTAGATCTAGCCTGCTCTAGGCAAAAGAGAAGAGCAAAATGGGATAGTGCCAAGAATCCCTGAAGTAATCAACAGTTTTCAGTTCTTGGTTTTCTCCAAGTACAGAAAGGGGAAGGCACCAAGCATGCGCACACAGAAGCTCAACAAGTTCTAGTGCTGCTTCCCTGACCTAGAGACAGTGTTAACTTTTGCATCTGGCAAGAAGCATAATGACCATGATTTAAACAGTTGGCAGTTTTGAAAAATGTGATATAGAAGATTTTTGGATGGCCTTAACCATCTATCATGGTTCTCTCTCTCACTCACTCTTTTTTTCAAAAATGTACCTCTACAGTTGCTTTTCAGGACTTGTGTCCATATGGTCATGGAACTATTCCTGGAATTGGTGATACACGCGAAGGTAGGTATCTTTTTCCTGATAATTAAAAAAAAAAAAAAATATTAAAACTAGATTTGGATATTATAGTATGTGATGGCTTACTTCCCACAGCCCCAGGTGACAAGAGGCTGACCTTTAACAAATGTGGATCATTATGAAATGATAGTTAAAAGATTACCTTTGAAATTGCATGGCTAGAGACAAAGAGAATAGGGCGCTCAGTTTTCTCAAAGTGCTTTTTTAAGACTTGACACAGAAATGCATCAGCTAAGTGATTGCTAATATCTTCCTGCTTTTTAGATGTCAATGAATGCCTTGAAAGCCCAGGAATTTGCTCAAATGGTCACTGCATCAATACTGATGGATCGTTCCGCTGTGAGTGCCCCATGGGATACAACTTAGATTACACTGGAGTACATTGCATCGGTGTGTCCATATTTCATATATTATAAGAATTGTAATGCTTGAATTTAAAACACAGTTTGAAGTGTGTCCCAGTTCTCTTCAGCTTGCATTTATTCATTATATACAGATACTGATGAATGTTCAATTGGCAACCCATGTGGAAACGGTACATGCACTAACGTGATCGGCAGTTTTGAGTGCAGCTGTCATGAAGGATTTGAGCCAGGCCCAATGATGAATTGTGAAGGTAACTTGTCCTCTTTATGGTTTTTTTGCTTTAGTTTTTGTCCAGTCCTCAGTATTCAAATTGCTTTATTAACCAGGTCTTTGGTGCTGTAATAGCTAGGAGGAAAAAAAGTTTCTCTGCTTGAAATATGTCATTGAAAAAGAAGTCCTGAATTGATTTAAGCAGTATTTTTAGTTTGTCACAGGATTTCCCAAACTGCATGTTGTGGTATGGTACATTATTCAGCTCTTTGTTGGAAAAGGGTAGGGAAGTAGCTGTTGAGCCCCCAAATATCCTCATAAATGATATATGGTATAGCTAACCATGGCAAAAATGCCTGAATTTACAGAGCATTTTTCATAACTGAGGCAGAGCAGTTGTGAACTGACCCTCTGATCAGTCATAGCAACAAGTGAGTTATAGTAAACGTAGTAAATTAAAGGCAGGCCACTCGTCCATCTAGTCCATTATTTCATCCCTCACAGTTGAAATGCGAATTCAGCATACAAGCATGACTAACGACTTTCTGCAGTTTACTCCTCTAATACAAGAGCTGAGGATATAGGGAAAATATAAGGTAAACTGGGGATGCATCCCTGCAGAGTGGGTTTAGTAACCACTTATGGATCTGTGGTCCAAGAATCTATCCAGTATAGTCTTGAATCTGCTGATACCATCTGCCTCCACAGCCTCTTGTGGCAGCAAGATCCAGAATGTCACTACTCTCACTAATTGGAGAAGTATTTTCTTTCATCTGTTTTAAACTAATCCCCTATCAGTTTCATTAAGTACCTCTTATTTTTCATAGTGTGGGATTTGTGTACAAATCAGCTACTGATCAGGATGCTTCTTACAAATTTTGTATTTTATGAATCATAATTAGTTTGCTTTCTGAAGCAAGAATTCTTTTTTTTTTTGGAGTTGGAAAAAAAGCTGACATCTCTCATCACACAAAAATACATTGAAAAATGATCATATAATAAAAATCTGAAATAGGCCTGTCCCAACTTGTCATTCTAAGCTCAAGTAGTTCTATATTTGTTATGCCATAATTTTTAAGCAGAGTTTTGTTCAATTTTCTCTGGCTGTTCAAAACCAGACATCAACAAGTTTCTGGTTTGAATTATTACATTTCTGATACTTTTTAGCTGACAGGAGAAGCAGAGGTATAAGAAAACCTTTGTGATTGTTTTAAAACTTAGTGGAGAATGATTATGTTGTTCCCTTCTGTTCAGATATAAACGAGTGTGCTCAGAATCCCTTGCTGTGTGCTTTTCGTTGTATCAACACTTACGGTTTCTATGAATGCACATGTCCAGTTGGCTATGAGCTAAGAGAAGACCAAAAGATGTGCAAAGGTAATGACTGATGTATAAACTTTTCCCCAACTTCCATCACCCTGTACTGGCCAAAGCATAATCCAAATTTTTCTGTGCATCTTGCATTCATCCTCTCAGTGGAACGTAGCAAACAGCCCAGCAGATGATGATTTACTCTTTCAGAACTCGTCAGACCAGTATCTAGTGTTTTTGTTATCAAGTGTGCCCCTTGATGGGGATTGTAAAGCGAAGAAGGTCACAATGGTGAAGTTCATCTTTAACACAACAAGATGATACAGCTCATAAAGATTAAGACAACTGCAATTAAGCATAACTCTCAGATTTTTCTTCAGTGCTTGTTAATTAGGGAAGTCTGTATGTCCTTTTTCTTGAGAAAGTGCTAGTCGTCTTCAGTAACTGAAGCTACTGGAAGTTCAAACACAAAATACATATTTTTTTCCAGATCTAGATGAGTGTGCTGAAGGTCTCCATGATTGCGAATCAAGAGGCATGATGTGCAAAAATTTGATTGGTACATTCATGTGCATTTGTCCTCCTGGAATGACCCGGAGACCTGATGGAGAAGGCTGCACAGGTAAAGCTTAGAAAGGGAAGACGACATCTAGTGAAATACAAACAAGGAAACAAATGAAAAAAATTTTTATAGATATACAGTAAACTAGAAAATAGCAATTCATAAAGGACACTTAAGACAGCTAATGATGCCCATCTCCTTAAACTTTCTTTTTTGTTTCAAGGTTTGAGCCTTATCTGAAAGCAGTTCTAAATGACTAATATGTATTTCAGAAGAAAAACTCTGGTTTTGTTTCTTTTGCTGTATAACAAAATCAGAAAGTTTTTCAGACACTTGTTAGATATAAAAAATTAAGGTACCAAACAAAAGAGACCTCATTTGATGAGTAGGAAGCAAAATTAACATAAATAAAAAGTTACATTTCCTTTAGCATTAATACTGTTTATAAATAGTTCCTTAAAGAATTAAAACTGTAATATTCTGAAAAAACATATAGAAGCCATGAAGAGCAAAAGATGTGGAAACTGCCATAGCTCAAAATAATTCTCCATCCTGTAAGTAAGCAAGCAGCTTTCCTCAATCATTTTCTTAATTAGTTGAGGGGGAAATGATAGCTACATTTTGGCAAATTATACTTTCTTCTGGGACATAAAAAAACCCAAGACCATTCCGAAGTTCTCTGTGGACAGAAGTAGCCAAGGCTGTCATTAGCTAAGAGGAAAAAAATTAAACATCCATCTCAGTGAATGCTTTAAATTAAAATATTTTAAAACAATGTTCCTTCAGCAAGAGAATGAATACTCTCCTTTACAGATCTTTTTTATTTTTTTCAGGGGAAATAACGTGTATTAACAAGAATTTTGCCTTTTTTTTGCCATGTAATGTTGCCTTTAAATCAGCCGAGGTTTTTCTGATGTTTTATTTTAAGAATCTATAAAGGTAATTGCTTACAGTATCTATGCCATTAGCTATGGAAGCAAATACACTAAGATTGTAAACTATTTCAGGGAAATGATATGTGGACTGATACATGACTAATTGCAGAATAGGCTAAACATATTCAGAGACTCTTAATAATTACCAAGTAAAAATTTGTTACTCAAATCATGCATGTGTTCCAATTTTAATTAAATGTTACTTGCCAGGTAAGAGTTATGACTAGACCTTGCTCTACTGTAAGTGTTTTCTGCTTCTTGCTATAAGTTGCAAATAACGTACAAGGATTAAAGCTTTCATCCTAGGATGCAGGACATAAGGAATGGAATAGGATAGTGTTATTAGGAAAGTCCTTTCCAGGCTTAATCAGTTGTTGATTTTCCACTTCTTGCAAATATTTTGCAAATATTACGCAGAATATTAATGGATTCTATGAGTCTGATATATGTTCTTGTAATAATTTATTTCCTTTTTTTAATTATATTTTTGTAAAGATGAAAATGAATGCCGCACCAAGCCAGGTATCTGTGAAAATGGTCGTTGCATGAATGTTATTGGGAGCTACCGATGTGAATGTAATGAAGGATTCCTGTCAAGTCCATCGGGCATTGAGTGTCTCGGTAAATGCCTCTTCCGTGTATATTTCATCTTACATTAAAGTATAAAAGATGTAGAGTGTAAATTAAGCTTCTGAGTAACTAACAGCTCTCGTATCTACAGAAATTAAGTAATGATCCTTAATCATTAAACAATGGTGTGATACTAAATAATGACAGGAATGAGAAGTGTCTTGAGAATGTCAGCTGAGTCTATCAATCAGGGGCCTCGCATAGAAGTGTCTAAATTCCAAAGGACATAAATATGGTGCTGAGCAACACTATCCAGACAAAATACAGGTATTTTAAAGAAGAAGCAGAATTTAATTACCTTAGACAGGTCAAAAACTGGGTTGTACAGCAAAATTGTTTGCATATTCAGAACACAGTCTTAAGCACCACAATACTGCAACTAGGCATCTGAATTTTCTGTACCTTTAATTCAGACAGTGATCATGAATACAAAATGCCAGGATTTCACCAAAAAATTGCAAGATATATTAAGAAGTTTTGAGGCAGGCCTGCACATTAAACGTTGATGAAGGGTTTTATATTCATCAACCTGTATTTCCTTCTCAATATGTTCAGACTTGTCATTAGCACTCTAAAACTAATTGTTCCCTTTTTAGAAATTAAACAACTGCAAAACCTCCTTTTTCATGATCAGTGTTCAAGTGTAGATGCTTCAGAGTCTTTTACAATACTGAAACTGTAGAAGTATTTATTAGTATTCTTTCATCACAAAAACTCCTATGTTATCTTATGTAAGTGCCATAAAACCAGCTCCCTGTAAATTGTAATCAGTATTGTGCTGTCTTCATGGCAAAGCAATAACACTAGAAGTATAGGGTGTTTCCTATGGGTTAAGACCAGATGGGAAGAGGATGCTGCAGTCTCTTAACCCCAACCAGTCATTAACACCAAGGAAATACCCTGCTTGGAGGTCATAATTGCTTTCTTATATTTAATACTTGATTTTCTTACTATTTTCTGAAAACTATGTTTGGGGTTAGTTTGCTCATTGCTGCTTTACCTTTAGGGTTTCCTGGGTCAGAAATTACAATGAAAAATGAGTCTGGCAGAAACAAAGTATTTCTTCAGAATTAAAGCACAAACATTAAGTTTTAGATTACATTATTTTAAATATATTTTGCAAACCTTTGTATTCTGTTCACATTAAAATTTATTCCATATCTCAAACTGGAGAGAAAGCATTATATGTTCTTCAAGTCATAATGTGCATAAAGACCTGCACAATACACCTATCTAGAAGAACAGAAATCTGCTGAGTCTTGCAAATTACTACAGCAAACATGCTGTCTCACACAACTGACACTTTCAGTGAAGACAGCTTTATTTGGTATAAATAGTTAAGTTACCGGCCACCCAAAGTAAGTTTTGCTTACAGCCAAAGTTTGCATTTTACCCGATTCATGTAAGAAATGTATGGATTCTGCTCCTCATGTTTGTAAAAGAGAAGATCAGTTGGGTGTTGATATATATACACATCCTGAGGGATCAGAAGGATTTTAACTTTTAGCTTTAAGAGAAAAAAAGTAAAACTTTCATTTAAAAACATAAGCATCTGTCAGACCATAGTTGACAATATCTCAGTTTCAATTAACAAATAAGACAGGTGACACAGCCTATTTAGAAGATACCATCTCTGCAAAATTTAGAGTTTCCATTAGCACTGGAAGCTGGGATCCCTGCTCTCCTCAGCTGCCTTTTTGAAGGAAACTTGTAGGAGCTTAATGACTCTGAAGATTTTCTCCTCTTTCATGATTGACAGGTATTAACCAAAACATTCACAAATTAAGGAAAATAGGATTAGAAAGGGACAGATCAACAGTAAGGCCATATAAATCTTCCCCCCCCGCTCCTCCAACAAAAACTAGGAGTGCCACCGAAAATGTACTGCGTTGCATAGATGCTTTTAGGTGCTAACAACATCAGGATAATTATAGATGATCAGACATGCTATTTTGGCCACTAAAACAAACAAACAAAGCAAACTTCTAACCGCATTCCAAGTAAATCATTCAAATGCAAGCCAAACATAGGTAGCTTAAGTGGAAGCTCAGTTTGGCCCTCAGCCTGTTTTACTATCAAGGAAGCTCAACAGATATGCCCTAGGGCACAAGTTTCCTAGAAGTAAGACTCATATCCAGCTCATGCAGGTACTGAACTTCAGGGATGTCTGGAATACACTTGGAATGGCAGCAGTCTGACAGAAGTCTGAAAGGCTAAGTCAAAATAGACTTCACAGACTGGTTCCTAATAATCTTCTAGTGCTTGCATGTGTTGACAAAGAGCCAGGATAATACATCAGATGCTTAATGGATCAGATGTTTATCTTCTACTTCTTCTTGATCTCTCTACTTCTTCCTTACAGATAATCGCCAAGGGTTTTGCTTTGCTGAAGTTTTACAGACAATGTGTCAGATGGCTTCAAGCAGCCGGAATCTTGTCACTAAATCTGAGTGCTGCTGTGATGGAGGCCGGGGCTGGGGTAACCAGTGTGAGCTCTGTCCGCTTCCTGGAACTACCCAATATAAGAAACTCTGTCCACATGGACCAGGCTATGCTACAGATGGAAGAGGTATTTGCAGGGATGAAAAGAGGCAGAAAAGGGGAAAAGAATATGCTCACATATTTAAGAAAATGCAGAATCCTTTTTGAAGTTCCTTCGAAGAATTTCCTGTGAAATAACAGAGTTTGATTTTTCAAATGCTGCTGAGAGACCAGAAATTAAAAACACCTTTAAACAGTAGCTGCAACCAGAATACTCACAGCTGTTCAGAATTTTCAGGGTTGAGATCTAAAACAGGAGGTACCAGCCAGTAACTAAAAGCTAGAAGTGATCCCAAAGCTTTTGTGTGCTGAAAAGTTGCATACATGGCAAAGGCAGCAACAGTTGTTCTAACAAGTCTGACTGAATGCTTTGCAGTTACTATTTCCACACAAGAAGCAGAAACTAACATACATTTTTAAATTGTGGTGAAAAAGTTTTGACATCATCTAACTGGTCACAAGAAAATTCACTTCTATGGGTTTTGTATTTTGAGTTAGCAAAACTGGAACCTGATTATCCAATGACATAGCAGGGAGGTTTTGATACAAAAAACAATGAAAGTTTAAAGGATATTTGAATTTGGATCCGTTTTTAAAGAGAAAGAAGGGGCAAAGTTCCTATCAGAAGCATGATGATGGGAAACTGTGCAAAAATGGAAGAGAAGAAAAAAGTCAAATTTAAAACTGAAAGATGACATACTTAATATTTTCTGTACAGATATTGATGAATGTAAGGTCATGCCAAACCTATGTAGAAATGGACAGTGTATTAACACAATGGGCTCCTTCCGATGCTTTTGCAAAGTTGGCTATACCACCGACATAAGCGGCACATCTTGTATTGGTAAGATTCAGCATCTTAATCCTTAGTTATTTTTTTTAATTGGTACACAATGACATATCAACCTCTGTAAACCTTTATATCAATGCAGGTTTTTCTCTTTTATCTCTTTTCTGTATTTCTTTCCTAATTCACACTTCTATTTTTGTATTTCATTTGGGGAAATCAAGAAGCAAGCTGTACTGGCAATATCCCTGCAGTAGAATGAGCACTGAAATACGTTTCAGCTGTATAACCATTTTGACTGACAAACCAGCTCATTACTTTGTGATCTACATTTTCCCACTTTCTTGTTGGTTAACACATATAAGTATACCATAGTGTGCCCCAAAATAGTTAGTGCTTAGATGAAAATATTAATGCCACTGTTAATCTAGTATATTACTCTTTCAAGACACTTAGTTTGTCACTGTAGTGGCAACTCCATAGGAACTCCACAGCAACACATCCATAGAGAAAGAAATAGGAACTCTGAACAAATGTAAATTGCGGACTTTTTCTACAAATATTTTTTCTCTTAAATACAGTGCTGTTTAGAAAACGCCCTTCAGAGACAACAAAATCAGTACAACAGTTACTTAACAGTTTCTCTCTTTAGATCTTGATGAGTGCTCCCAGTCTCCTAAACCATGCAATTTTATCTGCAAGAACTCAGAAGGGAGCTATCTGTGCTCATGTCCTCGGGGCTACGTCCTTCAAGAAGATGGAAAGACATGTAAAGGTAAAGAAATTTATACACAGTAACCTGTAATTTTGGTGCACCTTGACTTAAAAGGAGACGGATTTGAAGTGTGATATTTTTATCAAGTTAGACTTAAGGTACCTCTTTTTTTGTTGACTTTTCTTAAGACAACAACATCTCTTACTTTCAGATCTTGATGAATGTCAAACCAAACAACACAATTGTCAATTTCTCTGTGTCAACACCCTTGGAGGCTTCACATGCAAATGTCCACCTGGTTTTACGCAACATCACACAGCTTGTATCGGTAAGAAAAACGTTAGTTTTCTTGCATCAGTTTTTCTACAAGAACAACATTCTCAATTCTCATTCATTTCTTTTGCTCTGTGTAAGGAGTAATAATACAGAGCAATAATGTCAGGAGTCCAGAAAACAGATTGTGAAAAGCAGCAATTACAGCTAAAGAAAAATCACCAGTCTATCCACCACTTGTATTTTCTTGCTTAGTAAACAGTTGTACATATTTAATACTTGTAATTATATTCTAAGTATAACCACATGGAGACAAAGGGGTAAAGTATTAAAACCCCATTTAAAATGTAGTTAAACAAAAACAGTCTGCATTTTCTCTTTTAATAGATACAGATATCTTTAGATCTTAAGCATATGTATGAATCTTGCCAAATGAAACTATTTTAGTTCAGCTGATAAAGTGGTGCAGTACTTTTCCACTGTCAGCAATGACATACCTGGGTCTTTTGCACTCATAACTGAATTACACCTTGCACTTCCAATGTATTAATTACTCATAGCTCTGCATGAGTCATCAGGTCATCTGACATTTAAATATGAAAAGCTACATTTTCTAAATAAACTGTTGCACCTCTGTGGATTTCAACCTCTTAAGAAACATTATATGAACATACTAAAATCATGCCACAAGGTATACCAACCTTCTTCTCTCTCCTCTGCATTTTTAAGACAACAATGAATGTGGTTCTCAGCCATCACTTTGTGGATCAACAGGAATTTGCCAAAATACCCCTGGAAGTTTTACCTGTGAATGTCAAAGGGGATTTTCTCTGGATTCTACTGGATTAAACTGTGAAGGTAACTAGTGAAGGTCAAAATTTTTGTGGTGCAAATCCTTACTTCTGTGTCTAGTGAATCCTGTGATGTCAAAGACAGATAAAACAGCACCAGCCACAGTAAAAGTAAATACCAAAAAGAAATCGGATTGTATTTGAGTAATTTAAGCATAATTGGAGGTAAGAACATACTGTCTGAGTAATTTTTACATGAATTAGAATAAAAAGTGACTTAGCTGAACTCTTGAACAACTGTTTCCAGGCTGCCATTTCAACTTCACATAGGTTCATGCATCTGAAAGTCTAGTGTTTCTTCTCTTTCATTTTCATTTTCATAGTCTAAACAGAATGTCTCTCCAATTTTTGTTTTAGCTGACTATAATCATCTACCTGAGGGTATCTCAGATTAGATTCTAAATTCTGTACTTTAAGGCTTCTACCATAAAGATACACATTCAGAAGGGTAATTCACTACAGTTAAAATACAAATTATATTGTTGAGTTTCATCTCTCTGTTGGCCCAAAAGGGAGCTCCAGTCAGGACATCTCTATTTGAGAGCTCCAGACTCTTTAGTGGGCCTCAGATATTAGGCAAAGAAGAAATTAAAAGGCAGTACTAGGCCATCTGGCTGCTGAGAATTAAAAATGCAGAGGTATACATGCACAAATTTATGCCATCTCAAAATGTCAGCTTCCTTGATACAGCATTTAAAACAGGAACTGATATTTAGAGCCTGTTTCTAGGGTAACAGTGCAGAATATACACAGCCAGAAGTTTTATAAAGCATTATCTTCTGCCAGATTACTTTGTTCTCATAAAGTAGATACAGCCTTATTGTGTACTTTACCCAGCACCTAGAAAACAAAACACTAAATTATACATATCAAAGCATTCACAACATATGTACACAACTAGAACATTGGAACTTCTCTATATGCCATTACTGATAAAATGACAGCTTTCTGTTCCTGGCACAATGGTTTTCTGCATTGGAACATCAAAATTCCATTAAATTTGTTTGAAACTGTGGACAACTAGAGTGTAACTTAGAATCTGTGATACCATGCATGATTTTTTATTTTCTACTAGAACTGCACGCTGTACCTGACACATTATACTGCCTACAATCTACCTATTTCATATAGCAGACATTACTGCAGATTACTGAGTTTTTACATTTTGTTTTTTCCTTGTGGCTTTCTCCTTTATTTATACATACCTTAGAGACTTTTTAGGTGGCCTTTTCTTTTTAATTGCAAAGGTAAGCACTTACATCCAATTTGGTATGTATTCCTCATATTCAAACATTTCACTATATTCCAGGAAATTGAAAGTTTAGTCCTACATAATTGGTTTGAAAACTGAAATTAAAAAAATCCAGATCCTAAACATTATGTCAAAGCAATATCATGTGGGATTACCAGGAATAGTGTTTCTTCTCCAAATCTGAGTAATGTAAAGGCTCAAAAGCTCCAACCAGATTATTGATAGATAGAAAGAACACTACATTAATTGACTTTCAGGCTTTCCAGAAGACCAACCTGAATGGTGCTTCCATCTTACAGCAGTACTCCTCTGTCATAAATACTGGTGTTTCAATGATTATGATCACAGTGAGTAATGTATTTGGCAACATGTATACTCATGTGTTCTTTCATGTTCTACTTCTCTCCTGATTGCAAAGATGTGGATGAATGTGATGGAAACCATAGGTGCCAGCATGGCTGTCAAAACATCCTGGGTGGATACAGATGTGGATGCCCACAAGGATATATTCAGCATTACCAGTGGAATCAATGTGTTGGTAAGGAAACAAACAGCACAGAATACATTTAAATAGCAAAGGTGTCATTGTGTTTATAGTGACAACTGCCAGAAGAGGACAAGAATGGGCAGGACAAAGGGTATGCAGACAAATCTTTTTTTCCTCTCTCCCCCTCCTTCCACACACCTATTACTCCCAACATAAATCAATGACATCATAAGATAACAAGAAAACACACTCATCCTCTTGAAACTCTGTGTGACAAGGAGTTTTCCTAGTAAGGCCTAAGTTCTGACTCCCTTCTCAGAAAAATCGCCATCTGGGAAAGGTGGAAAGATGTTCATTGAATTCCTGAAAGCATCAATATAAATACCTCTGCCGGGTGGAGGAAAAAACCAAAAGAAAAAAAGAATAATCCCACCTTTCATCAGGAAGAATCACTTACCATCATTAGCAATTTGAGAATACTACAGAAAAGCATCTATAGTGAATTGGGGAGAAAAAATATCAACAAAACCATTAACGGTTTCCTACATCCAAAATACAGTCTTAAGGCCAACATTAGTTCTTTGGGCAGGGAACAGGGACAAATTAATCAGCTCAGCAGTTTTATTGTAGGTTTAGCTCATTCAATCCATCATTTCTTTTCTGTGTTTCATGAACTAAGCTAACTCCCATACCAAATGAAATGTGGGATTTTTTGTTTTTTTAGTAAAAACCAACACACACCCAAACAACCCCATCCTGTACTGTTCACAAGGCACCATAACAACATATTTACCTTTTCAAGTTTGCTTTCATGGTTCTCTGTCAATGGTGCCATAACCAGAGGATGGCTGTGAGCACTGCCATACATTTCTTACAGGGTGATCTTACTGTCCTGTTCCTAGACATATAAATTAGGTTTTTATACTAATTTTACAATAAGTAGCACACCAGCCAATTTTTCTGAAGTCCCAACCACCATCATCACTCCTTACTTAATACTGCTCTACAGCAAAGACAGCAAAGGACTGGGGTGGGAGTGACAAGAACACACAACAAACAACTCCTGTGAAACTCCAAACCAGCTACAGCCTACCTTTTATTTTTGTTCTTTGTGTTATTCTGGTAATTCCCACCATTCCTGAAATAACTGCTACTTTCTGAAATCATAGAATCATAGAATGCTTTGGGTTGGAAGGGACCTTTAGAGGTCATCTAGCCCAACCCCCGTGCCGTGAGCAGGGACAGCTTTAACTCGATCAGGTTGCTCAGAGCCCCATCCAACCTGACCTTGAATATTGCCAGGGATGGGGCCTCCACTACCTCTCTGGACAACCTGTTCCAGTGCCTCACCACCCTCATTGTAAAAAATGTTTTCCTTATATGCAGTCTCAATCTACCTTCCTGTAATTTAAAACCATTACTCCTTGTCCTGTCACAACAGGCCTTGCTAAAAAGATTGTCCCCATCTCTCCTATAGGCCCCCTTTAAGTGTTGAAAGGTCACAATAAGGTCTCCCCACAGCCTTCTCTTCTCCAGGCTGAACAACCCCAACTCTCTCAGCCTGGCCTTGTAGGAGTGGTGCTCCAGCCCTTGGATCATTTTGGTGGACCTCCTCTGGACCCGCTCCAGCAGGTCCATGTCCTTCTGTTGCTGAGGGCTCCAGAGCTGGACGCAGTACTCCAGATGAGGTCTCACGAGAGCAGAGTAGAGGGGCAGAATCACCTCCCTCGACCTGCTGGCCACGTTTCTTTTGATGCAGCCCAGGATACGGTTGGCTTTCTGGGCTGTGAGCGCACATTGCTGGCTCATGTCCAGCTTTTCATCCACCAGTACCCCCAAGTTCCTCTCTGCAGGGCTGCTCTCAATCCCTTCATCCCCCAGCCTGTATTGATATCAGGGGTTGCCCCGACCCAGGTGCAGGACCTTGCACTTGGCCTTGTTGAACCTCATGAGGTTCACACAGGCCCACATCTCCAGCTTGTCCCGGT